CGGACAGCTCCTGGCTGAGGTACGAGAGCTGGAGGAAGACCCCCACAACGCGAAACAGTTGGAAGACCGTAGTCGAGGTTATCACTCCGCTGGCCAACACCTGCGCAGCTTACAACCAGTGAAGTACCCCATATGTAGCAGGTACAGGATTTTCTCATTCAAGGTAGGATTTTTGAAATTTGAAACAACAAACGTCGTCTCGATCGTCCCTACCTGAATAAGAGCGGCAGACGAGTGAAAGAACGAGCTGGCCATGAGGTGGGCCAGGTTGGCCGCGAAGAAATCGGTCATATCCAAGGTGACGGTGCGCAGCCTCTGGTGCAGCGCGACCGCGTTCCCGACGACCTCTGGGGTCGCGGCTGCGAGGAGGCCCTGCGCCAGGGCGTGGTGCATGCCGGTGGCAGCTGCCGTCGTGCAGCCCAGGACGATCACCACGAATAATATGCTCAGGAGGATTAGCAGCACGCAGACTCCAGTGACCAGCCTGGCGACGTACACTCCCCAGGACCCCGTGTAAGGCATGAACGGCCAGAGGAGGAACACCATAGATTCGTCGCCAGAGAATGTAAAATGGAGCACAATGCTTGCCCCCATGGCAATGCTTAAGGTTATGGACTGGCAGGAGAACACGACGATGGTTCGCCGCGTGCGTGCCACCCACACCTGTGTGAACAAAAGGGTTCAAAAAAGTCTATATCGGCGGTAAAGGGTAGTGGGTGCCAACTAGTTTGTTACCAACGAAAAAGTATTCTTAACCTTTTCTGCCGCCCCGTCCTCCTCCTCCAGAACTTGGATAAGACTCTTCATCTCGTGCAGCATGGCCCAAAAGCGCGTCTGACGGACCACCCTGAACGCCACGAAGCCGCTGTAGATGGAGCTAAGGCCACTGAGCGTCTTCATGGTCGCCTGGAAGGAGGCGAATGTCTGCAGCATCTTGGACCACGACAGCACGACGCACAGCCCAAGGTACAGCCACAAGAGCTGCAGAGTACGCCACATTGTAGAGGGGAGCGAAAAAAACAGGATTTGAAATATTGAAATTGCGGGTATGCGGAACAGTTTTTTTTTTTCGATGTAGAATCGAGTGCAATTTTTTATTTTGTGATCGGACAATATTTTCCGATCGCGCATCGCGTCCACAGTTTTGCATCAGCTAGCTCTTGGAAAAAATCGTCAAAAACCACGAAAAAATGAAAGTTGAAAACTTAGGATTCGTTTCTGATGTTTTTTGAAAATCTGTTTTCAGAAATGGAATGTACGCCAAAAAGGCATCCCGTCATGTATCACACTTGATATTATAGTGAACAGTTCAGTCCCGGCCAGCTATTAATTTTAGCCAAAATTACATCAAATTGCACAAAAGTCATGACATTTTGCAGCCTACACCGCCTAAACCAGAGGTTGCAATATCAAGTATGATACATCACCGGATGTCTTTTCTGACGTGGATTGCATTTCTGAAAACAGATTTTCAAAAAGCATCCCATACAAAGCCTAAATTTTCGATTTTCATTTTTTCATGGTTTTTGACGATTTTTGTCCAAAAGAGCTAATGCAAAACTTTGAACGCGATGCGTAATCGGAAAATATCGTCCGATCTCAAAAGAAAAAATTGCACTCGATTCTACATCGAAAAAAAAAAAACTTTTCCGCATACCCGCTATTTCAATCAAATCTTCTTTTTTTTTCTTTTCGGTCCCCTCTATTCAGGATCACCCACAGGCTCCGTAATACTTCGTTACTGGTACACTGTACACTGCTCCAGAGGTGCATTTTGGAAGATTAACGCCGGTCTCAGCCTCCGCAGATTTCTATTTTTTTTAAAAAAAAACCACTTATTTTTCACGGGCAAGAGATTTCACGCACCCTGCTTCTTAACACTTTACGAATGAACCGCTGTAGATGTCCTCCTTCTAGGCACATCCAAGAAAAATAAACGCGAAGTCGCATTGTCGAAAGAGAGGGGACGTCTTATTCGTCGTAGGGAAATTGGGTAACTAAAGAAGCTTGAGCGGCCCGCTCTGTGTGCAAGGACGAGAGCTCACTTATGTCACAGCTGTCTGATTTCTCGGGTGAATCGAAGACACGTGGAAAAATCGGCTCCTTATGTACATTCTTAGTCGAGTAATCGAAACCGAGAAAGGTCACAGCTGCACTGGTAAAACAAGTGTTTAATGTTGCTTGTCAATTAATGTTTAAGTTCAAGTGTACATTTTCTCAACACATTGTGGTGTCTAACTAGGTTAAACGTCAATTGGAGTTTAAACTTTCGACACTTCCGAAAAATTCTCACGTGGTTCCTGATAGCATAGAGCGATGTGCGTTAAAGTGTACAGAATTTAAAGCAAACGTTTAAAATGTGCACATCATGTAGTGTGCAACATCATGACTTTGAACACGTTGATGTTTAAATTATGCACACTTGTTTTTACCAGTGTGGGGACGCTTTAACTGCGTTAAGGTTATCGCGTTGTTAACGAAAAAAAAAAGATTAGTTGTCAGAGCCACCTGAAAGGTACGCAATTAAATCCCCTGTAGGTAGGCAACCGACAGTGCATCGGCCCCCCTGTCAGACGGACCTTAATCCGCCCCTGTGTAAAATACTACACAGAACTACTGTAGATACCCTGCACTGCCTGACCCGCTTCAGCCGAACCCCCGAACAGGGGCAAGGCCTGACGCTCTATGGGGTTGTACACTTTAGTCCCTTTGACCTTGGGCAGCCATGGGACCAATTACTACGCCCCCCCCCCA